AATACTCACCAAAACATTGTATTTAAAACGTTTGCCGACAATAAAATTACACCAAAATATTTTTTTAAATATATAACAATTAATTTACACGGTTATATCAAAACTACAAATAAATTTAACACAAATCAATAAATTGCAAAAACTTAGATAAAATTCTAGACTATATTTACATTATATAACAGTAACCGAATCTATGACTGACTGATATAAGAAAGTATCGCATCTAAAATTGTTGGCCATCTGGTCTGCCCTTCTATACAAGTATTTTCTTAAAAATACTACATTACCTGTATTGGATAGACTCAGATATAGGGAGAGAGAGAGAGAGAGAGAGAGAGAGAGAGAGAGAGAGAGAGAGAGAGAGCTAAAAGACAATATAAGTCTGGTGACAATATAAGGGACAGTTTGAGAGTTAAGTGCAATAGGTTTGAGTGAATGTTATAGTTTTATAGCACTTGCATTATAGGAATGGCATTATTGGATCAGATTCTTAGTTAACATTTTCTAACTTTCGACTTCAATATATGTTTATGTGTTTATAAGGGGCACTATAAGGCCTGAGGTCTAAATTGCACTCAAAGCGCAATCATTACATAACTAAAGTGAAAGTGATATGAAAAGAGAATGTTTTATTGCACTAACAATTGTTAGACATTTGACTGACACATAGTACAGGTCAAGGCCTGCTTATGACCACATATATGGACCACTCATCCCAATCATAAAACTGAGACAATCGCTCAAAAATGTTGTTTTAAAGGCGTTTTGTTGACCACTAAAAAGTCGAAAGTTGTTAAACTATATGACGGGTATTACCGGTGTGACCATACAATTCACTAAAACTATCAGTTTGTTTCCAGTATTTGGTAATAGTTAAGCAACTCATAAGATACTCAAATTTCTTCAACTTTACAATATTTGTTATAAGTTTGTGTCAATAGCTATATTATATTAACGACAGCAAAACATAATTTATAAGTATACAAAAAGTTATATATTTTATATAATAATTTTTGATGACAATTGTCATGCAATAACTTAGACGTTAATATCTAACTTTAATAAATGTTGTGATGTGTTGTCATTATAGTCAAAGACATGAGTTGTTGAAAAGGTTTTCTTATACATAATATAACCAAACATTTGATAAGTCAATAAACACAACAAAATGACACTTTAATAATATTTTTGTGATTATTATTATTATTATTGCTTTTCACTATTATAATCACTATAAGGTATGGTTTATGGCTTTTTGCATCAATGAGTCATATAATGGTTTGTCTCTGAAAAAGTGTCACAAATATGGGTAAGACAGCAATTTATCTAATTATTACTTTATTTTATCATATATGCAATGTTTTTTTATAAAGTATGCTATACCAATAGAGTATTTATATCGTTTATAAGTAAAAATAAAATGTTATATTATATTTATATTATTAAATTGATGTATATATTGAAAAATTCTCTGACAATAAATAAATACATTTTACAAAAAATTGATTTAAAATCTAAATAAACAAATGCCATAAAGTGAGACATTTGTACTGAAAGAGAAAAGTTTATTAGATATATAGTCAATAATTAGATATGTTGTTAGGTTTAAAGTTTTGACACTAAAAAAGTTGATGTAATAAAACTTAAGTGACATTTGCATTGCTAACACAAATTACTTTTCATAAGTCTTGTGTCACATTTACGAGTGTTTTGTCTAAACTTAACTCAAACTTATGGCAAACATTTTGTGTTACTATTTTTAATCAATTATTGATATCAATACTAATATAGGGTTGTTGTCATTGGAAACTCAATGCTATGCTATGGTTATTATAAAATTCATTCATATATTTTAATATATTTAACTAAAAAATCAATAATATATGGAACTGGGTGTAAATAAGTGGGCTTTGAAAGGGCATCATTTCAAATATATTTAATTAAATAGCAAAATGAGATTCACAGCATTCAACAGAGTATTATTTGGGGAGTCAGGCAATCATGGCTGACATGGCTAACACAATATTATATTCACTGTTTGTTCAATAGTTGGCTTCTCTATGTATATCCAACTTTCCTTTAGTAGTGTGTCTGTCACTTAGGAATAGTATTCAATTAGATTAATGGTTAGTACGGAATGCCTTTCTATTAGTGCACTGCTGTATAACTACTCTCCTTTATCTGCTATCTCAGTGTATCAGCAGTTCAAGCATTGATTGGATGGCAAATACAAACTGAATATTTGCCAAATCCTATAAGTGTTGAACAAAAATATATAATAATATATAGAAATTGAAAACTTAGAGAAAATTAATTTTAGCCCTGTTTTCACTCAACACATGATTGTGTGTAAAATATCTTGAATTAAAATGCATTTCTTTATTAAATATATTTAAAAAGATCAATGTCTTTGGCTTTGATGAGAAAAGAAAACTAAATATGTAAAAACATATGATATATAGCATACACTTTATGTGTTTGTGTGTGTGTGTATGAGAGAGAGAGAGAGAGAGAGAGAGAGAGAGAGAGAGGAGAGAGAGAGAGAGAGAGATTAACAAATAGATATAAAGATAGAGTGAAACTTAGTGAGACTCCAAACATGATTTTACAGTAAATTTTGATTGTATTGAGTGAGAGACGAGATTTTGGCAATTATTTAGTGCTCCGATATGTTAAGCAATGATTGGTTGGTTTCGTGAAAATGGATGAAAGTCAGGCAATTGTATGTCTCGACTAAAATATACACTGTTTTTTGAAGCACTGGTGTGTGCTTTGAAAAGCCAACAAAATCTAAATATTTAAAAACGCGATTCACATAAAAACAAAGATCTCTTACATACCAGACTTTGTTATGCTTTTACTAACATTATTCACAATATACACTAATATATTATATATTATGTATTTATATTTTGCTATCATATCAAACAGTCACTGCCAGCAAACAATTTATAAGCAAATGAATGTCTATCATATACTATACAGTACTTATAACAACTAACTACATAAATACATTGTAACTGAAAACATCATATATTATATAAGGAGCCGTCATTTGTTGCCCTGTAATAAAATAATGCATAAATTTTATTTGAATTACTACTTATTCAACAATCAACCTGTTTTTTCTCCATGTCCTCCATGGACTCCATGGACTCCCTATTCTCTCTACTTATATCTAAACTATTTCTTAACACTTTAACTACAATTTATTTATTTTAAAAAATAATATATAATTAGAGCCCAACATTAGTTTTACAGTCAATTATTAACTTTGTACTTTGTATGTATTAATATTATACTAACATTATACATATCAGTTTAGTAAATACATTTAATTGTACAGGTATATTTTGATTTTTTAAAACTTGATACAAATATTTGATTTATAACATTTTTAGAATTAAATAAATTAAATTTATTATTAACTAAGAAATAATATTATAATATTATTAAATACATATAAAAACCTTTAGTTAAATTTTCAAGGGTAATTTTTGGAAATTTTTGGTTTTTTAATTATATAATTTTTTAAAGCAATATATAAACCTATAATATAATAAATTTTAAAATTGTTGTTTATAAGAGTAATAATTATTCATTAATGTTTAAAATTTCCATTATTATAATAATACTGTGAAATAAACACTTTTAAAAAATCTCTAATATATTGAGTTTACATTATTATTGCTTTTAATATATAAATATTATTTTATTATAATAATTGATAGAATGTTTATAAAAATCAATATGAATCGATTGATTTTTAATTTATTTATTCAAACTACTGTTTAAATTATTTAAAATATAATACTATATTTTATATAAAATAATATTATTTAAATAAATAAATAAATAAAAATAAACTTAGTTTAAGGCTTAATTATCAAAATCTTGTTATTTATAATTGAAATATAAACGACATTTTACACAAATATCTTTATATGAAATTTTAAATATATGTATTTTGGATATAAATATAAACATATGTTTACAACAAATTAAATAAAGAAATAATTTTTATAAATATTTAATGATAATAAAATTAAAATTTAATGAGTATTGAGAAAGACATTGTATAATTAATTACTAAATTAGAAAATTTTACTTTAAATGATATTTTATTTAACAAATTATACCAAATGCTTAACCCGGAGGACAACTACATTCTGAATAGACATATTGTTATTAATATAAATTAATATATAGTATAATACAAAATTTCGTATAATATTTATCTTTAGTTTAATTTATTAAATACTCGTATACATTGTGTTTGTGTGTGTTTTTTGTTATACTGTACGTTGCAGTCCTATTGGTATCAATATACTATATTAATTACATATGAAGTTAATATACTGTATATATATAATATATTCAAAAAAATTTAATTAAGTTGCAAAACATCTAACTATGTATATTATTATAATATAATTATATGACAATTGAAAATAATTTACATAAAATTTAATGAATCAAAATACTGCATATCATTTGTTTTAAGTTAAAGCAAATACGTATACTTATTTAATGTACGTCTCGTTTATATAATTATATTTATATATATATAGATAACTTTTAATGAGATATTAGTAAAATTATGGATAATATATTGAATTTTTATCAAATAATTGCACGTTTAATGCATTTTTCGTATACTTGCGATTGGCGTATTATATGAAGATTTACTACAAAATCAATTTTAGGATTAACTATCAACTGATAACCTATACTTCAATGACAAGTCTTGTACTTTAATAGATAATTATGTATTTTATAATAATTTCGTGATACTATGCTTTAATGCTGATAACTATCTTATAGAAAGATAAACTTAATATTAGTGTCTTTTTTGGCAAAATATGAAAGAAAATGCCGACACTATTGTAGAGTTAGAAATGAAAAGTACAAACAAAACAAATGCAAAGTTTTATAATTTAAAAATGAAACTAATATTGTCTGACCTTTGCTTCAATATATTGAGTGATGAGAGAGTGTGTGACATGTATGACATTTAGTACAATCAATAATTATGGATAAAATTGACTTATGTTTTAGTATTGGTGTCGTTGGTGTTTGAGGATGAGTTGGATTGCAATTTGGTTGCCTGTGCCTGCCTTTCCTGTTCATTCAACTCTTTGATTGCTTGGATCTCTTTCTTCAGTTTCATTCTTCTATTTTGAAACCATATTTTGATTTGTCTTTCAGTCAGACATAATGAATGAGCCATTTCTATACGTCTCCGTCGGGTTAAGTAGTGGTTAGTGTGGAACTCCTTTTCTAACTCAAGTGTTTGGTATCGGGTGTATGTTTGACGGCCTCTCCTTCTTAAACCATTAGCACCGGCCAGACCTACAGTGGTTCGGAAGATCATCCAAATTAGACATTTATAGAGACAGTTGTAAAACTATATATTGTATATTACTTTTATTGCTTATATGTTTCTTGAATTACATTTTGAGTTATATAACAGACTCTCACTTGTTTTTGTATCTTATAAAACAATTTCCTTTTAAAAGTATTGTAAAATTTTATTTTTAGTTTCAAACAACATGTTGGACCCGCTCTCTCATGCATTAAGTGTCGTAAATCTGGTATTTTTTGGGGGCTATTTTGTGTCATCTGATTGCATGACTGTGACATTTGGTTATTCAATAGATATTATGTAAGGGGACAATGGCCTAAATTTTATTTATTCAAATACCTGGCAATTGGTTGACTACGCATATAATACAAGTAAATTCATGCAAATCTGTGGCAATAAAATTAAACTCTAAAAAAGCAAACATCTCTTTATAACAAACAGTTCATCACTTTAGACATCATTTTAGTCAAAGATTTACTCGAAGAAGAAACACATCGCTATTGTGTTTGTTTTTAAAATTTTAAGTGAATATTAACTATTACTTTCATATTTTGCTTATTTTGTTGTCATTACATAATTACAAAATAGTAACTTAATGAAGACATTAAGCTATGTCTTCAAGCATTTTAAATGACTTGTTTTATGATATATTTTTTTATTATAGCCTGAAAATGGGTTCACTGATGATTCAACTAAAATAAGTGAGTCTTATATATAATTATACTATATATATATATATTTATATTTATTTATTTATTCTTTTTATGATATTCAAAATATTTTTATATTAAAAAATTTCAAGATTATATACTGATTAGTAACTATTTATATGATTTATTATTTGTGTTATAGTTAAGGTGCTTTAATTTTATTATTATTATACAGACTGTACATATATAGTACTATATTTTTATATTTATTTAAATTTAAATTTTTAAATTTATTTTTAATTATATTAATTTATACTAAGGTATTGCTATCAAATGACTAATTGATTAGAAATGGTATATAAAATGTATATTAAAAATTGTTTTTTATAATGTTATAATAAATATTATCTTTATTATTGCAAACTATTTATTATTTAATTTTATATATTATTTTTTAAATTAATAATCTACTATACTTTACATTCTATAATTTCATATGTTAATTAAAGTAATTGTAAATTTTTAAATGTAAAATTATTAAAATAAGTAATAACATTGAAAATATGTAATTTAAATTTTGATCTAATATAAAACACATTGAAGATTATAGTTATTGCTATAATAGTATAATAATTATTATTTATTATTATTATATTATTATCAATTATTGCTAAAAGTTAATCTGTAATAGTTTAGTTAATAATAAAATGTTTTGCTACAAATAAGTTGTGATAAAATTTTAGCAATTTTTAGTGTATCTTTAAGGCACCGGCTTTTTAGTGGCCTTTAAGGGATATGCTATAAAACAATGTTTATTACTATAATAATTATGAGTTCAGTTGTTTTGCAAAAAACATTCACTTGTAATAAACGTATTGACAAAAAAAATATCAAACATTTACTCGTATTTACAATAATTGTATCAAATAAATTAAATTTTATTGTTATTTACTATATATTAATATTGAATTTTAAATGTCAATAATTTTTTAATATATAGTAAATACTTTCTATTTTATTCATTTTCTGTCTAATTTATTATTTAAGCCAATAATTGAATTTGTTTAATATTTAATTTTAGAAGTTAGTATACTATTAAAACTAAATTTTTTATTAAAATTTTTTTATTGTAACAAAAAAACTAACCTTAAAAACTAAATCTTAATTTTTTTTTTCACTTCACTTAATTTTGAAATTTCAGTTTTTATAACTTAATTTTTTTTATTTATAAAATTTATTTTTTTTTACTAATTAAAACACAATAAGACTACTTTTTTCTAATTATAATTATAACGTTTGAGTGAATTTTTTAGGTAATAGTCTATTTAAATGTGAGAAAATTGTTTTTAAAGATAATCAACTCTACAGTATATGTGCGAATAATATGGAGTAAATGGTTACCTGCAATAGCCATCCAGGGATAGAATGCATTAGGATTGCCACCGATGGTCGCACCGGTCATTGTAGTTGTGTTACAACAGCCAGTATTCCAGACATCCATTTGTCGCGAACAGGCGGCCACTGTGGCGGCCATATCGCTGGTCAATGCAGTTGATGAAGGAGATGGTCGTAATGAGTTGGGCCAACCGCTGCTCATTTGGTGATCGGTCGGTGCTTTAAATCCATTTTGCTCTTTAGTTAGCCCACAATCTTTGAATGCTTCGCTTTTAAACGGTTGTGTAGATGTTGTATCGTATAGTTTGCACCCGTCATAGTTTGTGCCGTCAGATTGAATGCCACTTTGGCTCGATCTCAGACTGGCCGGGTATGTAGAGGTGGGCATTAATGACAGAGCCGATTGTGATGCATAAGCCGAACGGTAGGCATGTGCCTGATCTGCGGGCACTGCATTGTAAAAACCTGTGGCCGATGTGTTGTGATCGAAATATGTAGTATTCATCATAATTATAGATATATTTTAGATGAACACCACTATTACTACAGATAAGTATTGCTGCTCTGAATTTTAATTATTATTATTATAATACACTGATAAACACAGAATTTAAAACTTTATGATTGTAGACAAATATTGTGAAAATATATATATATATATATAAACTGTAGATATATTGTTATTTCGGGTCTTTAACAGCATTCATGACGGGATGGCATACAATATAGGATTAAATGGTCACAACATTAGACACCAGATCTTTCAATGTTCTTCATGTAAGTTTGTGTTGGCTTCGATGCGATAGTAAACGGCGCCCATTCAAGCAGGGCTTTCCCGGAAGGCTGTGCTCAGCCAATCAGCTCCGGTGGTCGGCTAACATCATAACATTCAGTGACAATTGGACGGCCCCTGACTTGGTTTCTAAAGTTAATAAATTGCTTTTCATGTAATATATAACAAAGTCTGAACACATATACATTTATATCAATGGTGTTTCACTGACATCCCTCTCCTCTCCCCACAGAATCCACTCAACAACAGCACTCAGACTAACATTATATTCTGTTTGTTAAATATCCCTAAAATACCGCTTTTTCGGACTTCACGAGAGGAGATCAGACCGACAAAGAATTACATAATTATAAGCCATAGTCTCGTTCTCTGCGGTTATTCATAAAGTCTTTTGCTTTGTTGTCAAATGTATTCATTTCTTCACTAATAACACTCTATTTAATACCATTTCCTTTCAATGAGTCATTTACCACAACTCTCACCTACGGCTGAAATATAACTATTAGTTTTAATTTTGATTAGTTTTTATTATTCAAGTAATTTTTTGGCTACAAATCAATTGTTCAGAAACAATGTTTTTTATTTATACAAAAAATATTTTTTATATTATTGATATATTTGACATAAATTAACATATTTAAAAACATTTCATTTTAATACATATCAAACAAAATACTTTATTTTGTAGTTGATCTATATTTTTTAAATTAGCAAAAATAATAAAATAATTGATATAACATAAATATACAATTCAAATAATATTGATTATTTTAGAACTATTTTATATTTATTTAATTAAAAATAAAATAATTATACTTAAAAATAACGTGTCATATATTATTTTATTGGTACAATGAAGTCTAAATAACAATAAAATGATCAATTTAATTTATTATTATGTAAAATTATAAACTATATATTATAAGCTATTTATATAAATACATTAAGTATATATTTAAATTACAGATTAATTAGACAATTTATGTCCAGAAATCAAATTAAAAATTAAATAAAATTTCATTAGTTTAGGTCAGGTCTAGTAATCTTTCGAGAAAAATTAAATGATATCTTGAATTTATAATATTTTTATGGTTTCTATATTAATAATAGTAATACAACAAATAAATATTTATTATAAATATATAAGTAGCTTATTAATCAATAAAAATAGCTAATAATCTAATAGTATATTTTTAGAAAGTTGAATACAAATATTTAAAAACTATATTAGTCTAATCGTATTTTATCTAATATATAGAGTTGTGGCTTCAAAAATGAGTTCCCTAAATGAGTTCCCTAAATGAGTTCCCTAAATGAGTTCCCTAAATGAGTTCCCTAAATGAGTTCCTTCAATTTCCCTAAATATTTTCATTCAATTTTTTCAGAAAATAGTTTTTGCTGCCTAACCCTTCTGAGGGAAAATATATTTTAAAAATTATTAATAAAAATACCAAAACTAAAATATTTAACATAACATTTTATGGAAAATATTTAAAAATAAATATAAATTCTGTAAATTTAGTGATACTATTTTACAATACAAATTCAATATACAACATACATGTGTTTTTCAAACAGTATAATAAAATGTAAAGTTGGAGTTCAATAAGTAGTAAACATAAAAATAGATTCCCGGAATGAAAATTGTAAGGAAGGAATATTTGGAACTTTTAAAATATAAAATGAGGAAAAAATTGCCCGAAACCTACTAATATAATGTATATAATATATACGTTACAAACATACAATCCAAACAAAATCCAACTAAAGTATTAATACTTTGTCTATAATATATTAAATATTTTGTAAACATTTAATAAATTTTAGTACAATTTTGGTAATACTTATTATATAAAATATATATTAAAATGTTAAGTCGAAATAATTGTTATGATTTATAAATCATGAATATTTATTTATAATTTATATTATACAGTATTCTTATTAAATCAAAATTATATAATAAATTATTAATTTTTATGGTAAATATATAATTAACTTTTTAAAATATAAATTGAAAAAATAATTTTACAAATATTATATATTGTAAATTGAAAAATATTATATAAAAATATTTGTTTATAATGTATTGTAAATTGTGTTAATTAAATCTTATTAATAGTTTAAATTCATTTAATATTATACAGTATTTAGTTTCAAGAATGTAATTTAAAAGATTATATATAACTAGAGTTCGTACGACTTTCACAGAGAGGGAGGTTCCCTAATAAAATCCCTCAAATTTTCCCGGAAAATAGGGAAAATATTTTATTTTCCATCCCTAGCCCGTTAGAAAAGAAAATATATTTTATATTTCTAAAATAAATAATACCAAAAATTTGCATAAAATTTCATTAAAATATTTAAAAATAAATTTGAATTCAATGAATTTAGTGATACTATTTAACAATTACACTCAATATACAATTTAATGCAACATATGTTATTCAAATCTTATAACAAAATTTATTGTCTATTATTCAATAGGCGGTAGCACAAGGAAATAGATTACCTGCGAATTTCCAGGAGCAGGGAATATAGGGAACTTTTAGGAAATAAAACGAGAGGGAATTTGCCCGAACCCTATATATAGTTTTTGTTAAACTATTATTCTGTTGTATCACTCATTTGTTTTTATCAGTAATTTTCATAACAAATAAAATTATTTTTAAATTTATACAATTATTGTTCACACAAATATGCCCTGGTACTTTACAATTTTTATTTAATTATTTTACTGACAAAATATATAAATATTATGAATAAATTAGAATACCTGTTATATAGCAATATTAAGCAAATTAATAAAATTGATTAAAAATAATTTATTTATATTATATATTACATTATTCTATTCATACTATAAATTTTTTATCAACTTTTATGAGTGATATGATATCAATGGATACCATTGGCTATAACTTTGGTTCAATCATTGCATCTTTCACTGACATCTGGTCACACATATTCACAAATATAAAATAGTTTTGGGAAAAAACTAAAATTTTAGGCAAACATTTGTAAAATGTATAAAATATATGATTATTTTTATTAATAGATTTTTCGTTTAGGAAAATATTTTAGAAAATTAAAATTTTTAAAAGTTTTGTCAAATAATTGAGTCGACATTCATCATAATAATTGGTGGTATTATAACAATATACATATTTATCCTATTTATATACAATTATAACATTTTTGTCATTGATTTTATTAAATAAAATGACCAAGTTTATTTTCTTGATTATTTTTCGTAAATATTGATTTTCTAGCAAAATATTTATAACAAACAATTTTTTGATATCATTGTAATAACTTAACCTTAACTTTATGTAACTTATATCAAGTATATATGAAATATGTGGAAAACGAGTCAATTTTTATTTTTATAGTTTTCGAGATATGGCTATTATATGTCGATATTTACTGAAAATTATAAATTTTATTAGTTTACTGAATCATTTTATTTTGTGAACAAATCTAGTTATAAAATTATTTTCAATAAGCTTGGTCAATTATCTTTTACACATTTAATTAGATATTCAGTTCTGATGGTATAATAATATGGATATTACAGTAATTTTTTCATTATTATAAATAATCATCATTCATGTCTAACTGACTCAATTAACATATTATAAATTTAAAATAATTATTATATAATTACTGTATATTTCCTATTTATAAAATAGTTATTTAAAAATTTTATTTATAAACCTTATGTAACATATTATGTATTAATATCTTTGAATTCAATGTAATATTCAAAGTAGTGTTGAAAAACAAGATCTTGGTTTTGCAAGATATTGTCACGTCTTGGTCTTAACCAAAGATCAAGACGTGAAATAAAAGAGTTTGAATTACCAATACGTGACTAAACAGACAATTGATGACATTATAAGTAATTATTAATATTATTTTAAATATTAATATACAAAACGTTTAAGATATTTAAGATATTGCAACACGTGATGGCATAAAACGGGGTTTTGGGACAAATCTTTAACACTAATTAAAAACAATACATTACATGAAAATAAGTAACGTTTATAACATTAAATGACTTTATTTTGTTATTACTGTATAACCATATAATATACTGTATAATACATAACTGCCATATATTTGATAAAAAAATTGATTGATTTAGTTATTAATTAATTGCAATTATAGTAACTATTATTTTAATGCCACAAATCAATTGAAAAATAATGTCAAACGTATTGAGAGTTCAATCAAAAGTATTGTCAAATATTTGTGCCAAACATTCAAACAAATGTTTATTTCGTGTAAACATAAGTTTTATTCAAAATATCAATAAATTTAAGTTTAATTTTATATCATATCGTTGTTTGTCATCAAATCATAAGTCAAACAAAAGTAGTTTATTATCTGAGAGACCAAACAATTTGCAATCAGAGCTAACAATTGGCGAAAAAGTGAAGCAAACGACTCAAGACATCACATCTATTGGTATCTAATGATAGTTTTTGATGACAAAAGTGTCTAACGTTGACAATGTGTCCAAACAGGTGTCATAATCGCCGGCATCGGAGTCACAGCTTTTATATTTTGGGCCATTTTTCGGGAATTGTTTTCATCGGCCAGTCCTTCAGGACTTTATTCAAGTGCACTAAAACTATGTAAAAATGATACGCGAGTTACGGAAGCCATCGGCGAACCAATCAAAGGGTTTGGCGAAATGAGTTCACGCGGTCGGCGCCGACACGTGAGTGCCGTTGAATACGAAAAGGACGGACAGACTGTCATTAGAGTCAAGTTTTATCTGAAGGGTCCCAAAGCCAGTGGAACCGTTCATTTAGAGGCTTTCAAGAAGAAATCAAACTCACAATTTAGATATCTTTTTGTTGAATTAGACCATTCAAGACAAGTGATAGTTCTGGAGGACAACAGACTTATTGAAGACAAACCTATCTTTACTGCACACCAATAGTGAAGATAACAAGTTTTACATTAATTACCGTAATTGTAATAAAAATGCTTTTATAACATTATTATATAAATTATTAATATTATTATTGTATCAATCAATTGAAATTGTATACAAAAATATTTTTATTAATAGTTATACTGTATATGATATATAGTCATCAAAATATATAAAATACAATTATTATTATTATTTGTTATTTTATTACTTATAATATTGTCTATCGATTTGAACATTGAAAATGAAAGCATTAATCATAAAGAATATTCTCTAACTTAGAGTTTGTTTTGATTTCAATACAATTCCTTTTCTATGGAAACATGTATTGAGACAAACATTTATTTTTTGAGTTAATTTCTATAGACTTATACAGATTGTCCGAAATGTCAGATCTAGTGGCCGTATGGGAAGTACCTCTACCCGACAAAGTGCATCGCATTGAGTTTGAACATGGCACCACTACAGGCAAACGGATCCTCAAACTTGATGGACAGGTATTACTATTATATCATACAGTATGATTGTATAATGCATTTTCAATCAATTATTTTAATTAATACTATTATTAGAAAACTTATTATTTGTTTATTATTAACAATTATAGGTAGGATTTTTTCCGTTTAATTATTAATTCATTATAGTAGTTAAAATTAATTAATATTTATCATACATTCAATACAATATTAAATAATACAACTAAATATATTAAGTTGTATGTATAATATTTATAATTTTGATAAAAAAATATATAAATATATCGCTAAATTAGGATATCGTACGACGGGATTGGATGTTCAAATTGGTTGGAAGTGAGTTATTTGACATCAAAGGTGATGACCACCAAGTATTGGCAAAATGCGAAATACTAATCAACGCCAGCACTGGATTTACTTATGAATATTCATTGTTTGTTAACGGAAAACAACTCAAGAAGTTTAAGGAGATTCAGTCTAAAGTGATGTGCATTTGGATTGTTGAGGTCAACAATACTATGTTTAGAGTGGCTCTCGGTTTGTATTAAACACTTGTCCACTGTTTATGATTTGAATTTATTGTCACAGAGAAGGAAACGCTTGACATTTGGGTCAACGGATCAAAAGCTGAGTCGAATCACGAGTTCGCTGACGAGGGAACTGAAATGCATTTCCTCATTGATGGTCAACACAAGGCTGTCGTCAAAACCATCAGTTCTGGCAATAAAAAAGAAGGAATCGTTTACTCGCTTATAGTAAACGACAAAGAAATAACTGAAGGCTTAGTGTAATGTTTTGTTATTTTAAATACAAAAGTTTAAAAATAAAGTTTTAAATATATTTTTATACAATTATTTAATGACTAGACATGAAGTCAGATATGTTAACTAAATAACTAATATCACAATTTGTCAACAATTATTATAGTTATAAATCTATTTGTTAAGCTTTGATTCATTATATTGTTTAAAAAATGCTTTACCGAACTCATAGGTACTAATCATTATAGCACAGGCAGGCGCTACTTTGATAATTCGGGGAACTATACCTGAAAAAAGTCCTTTAAACCCATTTTGTTGATATATTCTAATTAAAATTTCTCGCGTTTTACTCGCATTTTTGGCACTATTTTGAATGATTTGCATTTCTCCTAATTCTATTTGTCGGTGAGTCTTCACGACATCAAATGGAAGTGTTATAATTGCTGCTACCGTTCCAGCGGTCGCACCGTTAATAAAACTAAATGCAAAAGTCGGCTCTTTTTGATTGAAACGTTTCTTCATATATTCATAATTAGCCCAATATATACATGAAAAGGGAACGTCTCTCATAATGGTTGCACTTAATCCACGCCATAACGAGAAAAACCCTTGAGTTCGAAGAAGATTGAGAACGGCTTCACTTAACTGTAAATAACTTAATCTTTTTGATTGCATTTTCGTCCGAATCATTTCCAATGGGCTGATAGTAGTCGCGGCAAATATACGAGCAAAACCTCCGGACAAGACGGGCACCCAAAGAGGTTCATCACTTAATTGTAACTTTCTATACGTCCGATCTCTTAACTGATCATAAATTGTAAAATATATAACAGTCGCCGGAATTGCCATAACTCTAAAATATTATTAATAAATCATATTATTATAGCTAAAAAATGGATTTGAAATTAATTTCATACAAAGTGGGCGGAAGTCCACTCCAAAGGGCTGTTATGCCTTCATTTCGTGTTATTTTAATAAATGCGTCCTTCAATTGAATTAAACAATTAAGTCATAAAATACAAACAAAACTAAAAACAAATACAAACCAAAGTTCCCGTAAAATGTGTATTCCTTGTCATCAATACATTCCTATTCAAAGAATTAAAAGTCTTTACACCGGAATTGCTGCCATTGTTGCCATTAATGGACGGAACAGTATTTGCTGGACAATAGCAAATGTGATCCATAAGACCATTACAGTAGAGATAACACTTGTTTTTCATAAACTCCTTTTGCTGTGATTGCAATCTAATCTTCACCACATCTAATGGGGTGACTGTATGGACACATTCATGAGATCAAATCAATTAACAATTGATGGCAAAGTAATACCAAACATTGAGGTCATGAGAGCTCCGGTACACGAAGACATCATCTGTTGAACAGGTGTTATAGATGTAGTCAATTGTGAAGTCATGTCGTTTACAAACACAGAAGTGTTGACAACTGCTAAGTCTTCTTCTAAGAGATCACTCATCTTAACCAAAGTGACAGTCAATACAATAATTGTTAGACATTTGTGACGACAATCGCATCCAATGTTGTTATCAGTCAATCACACTATCATTGCATCAGTTAATCAACAAATTTAAAACACATGGATAGGAGTCATACATACATCACGTACTATACTATCACTTGAATAGAGTATTATTTATTACTAATATTACAGTCATATAATGTTTGAATGAAATGTCGACGTAATTGATGTTTGAATCAATGATTTAATGCTTTGTCACTTTAGGTTTGCATTTAATTGTCATTCAATTGAATTCAAAGTTAATTACAATTGAATTGAATTTAATTATAATTTGAAGTCAAAGTCAATAACTAATGGCATCCGAGAGATACAGCTTTTCATTGACGACATTCAGGTATTGATGACATTAATGATTATTAAAGTAATTAATAATTAATAATACATTTAGTCCGTCGGGAAAATTGGTTCAAATCGAGTACGCGTTGGCCGCAGTGGCCGCGGGTGCGCCCGCTGTGGGCATTAAGGGTTAGTTACACTTAATTATGTTTTATATATATTAACATTAATGGACACGAATTGACTGTCTATTCAACAATATTTAGCATCAAATGGTGTTGTATTGGCCACCGAAAAGAAACACAAATCCATTATATATGAAGAGCACAGCATATATAAAGTGGAGGCCATTACCGGACACATCGGTCTCGTATACAGCGGTATGGGTCCCGACTATAGACTACTTGTACGCAGAGCTCGTAAAATAGCTCAACAATATTATCTGTTGTATAACGAGCCGATCCCTACCATACAATTGGTTCAACGCGTGGCACATATTATGCAAGAATATACCCAATCGGGAGGCGTCCGACCCTTTGGCGTGTCTTTACTGATAGCCGGTTGGGATAATGACAGACCTTATCTGTTTCAATGCGATCCATCTGTAAGTTAAATTAATATATGTTTTTGACAGTATTTTGTGTAAAACATTTGATTATTACCGGTAATTATGGTATATCTTAAATGCATTTAAAGGGTGCATACTTTGCATGGAAGGCGACAGCAATGGGAAAGAATCACATAAATGGCAAATCATTTCTTGAAAAACGGTATTTCATTAGACTATAAATTATAACTTTCGTTGTTTTCATTAAATATTATTTTAAATTCTATATTTAAATGTATTATTATTATCAACAGTTATAGCGAAGAACTAGAATTGGAAGATGCGATTCAAACGGCAATACTTACATTAAAGGAGGGATTTGAGGGACAAATGACTGCTGACAACATTGAAATCGGTATTTGCGATACACAAGGATTCAGAAGATTATCACCGACTGAAGTAAAAGACTATTTGGCAACAATTGCTATTTGATTGCTATAAATCAAATTGTTTTAACTTATGTATCTTTTTATGATTTGGATAAAATAAAATCTGGTTAATCCATGAAAACTTGACGTATAGTTTCTTTATAATTTATTTATTGATATAATTATAAATTTTGCTAAATTTTTAGACAAATAACTTTTATAAATATTGAATTTAATTAATATTGAATTTACTCATAATATACTGTATAATGAAATTAATGATAAATTTATTGAAAATTATCGCTTATTTCAAGTAAACATATGATTGGTTGGCACTCATTGATGATAACCAATGAGAGAATAGAATCAACAATAGTGTTAATCATTGAACGCTTTGATAACGTTTAGACTGTTTTAGACTTTTGAAAGCCATTTGTGTTTACATAACATAACTTATATTATCGTCATTTGCATCAATTGATCCAATTGTCTGATCAAACAAGACTTTTGTGGTGAGTATTAATATTATTAATATATGTTTTGTTTCTTACTCTTCATTAGGAACTCAAACCTTCAATTAATTGAGTAATTGATGGCAAACAAAGCTATGGACTCGAATGATGATAATATCAATGATTGTTGTCACTCAACGGTTCCACTTTTGCCATACAAAGGCTTATTATAGCAATTATATCATTAAATATGTCACTCATTTGAGTCATTTGTGTCCAATTTGTGACATCAATTATATACCAATACTTTCAAAGTATTGACTCAATGATTGAGTTTGAGTTGACTTAAGATCACTGTTACAAACAATGCATTAAATTATGATTTAATGCAAATTAAAGAGATTGTAATCATTTGATAGCAATTGAATGCTTTAATTAGGATTTTGGTCGTCAGTTGATGGCATCAATAGATTCAGTGAAACGAGCGCTTAATTCAACTACAAGAATGTCTTTGAGTGAACGGTTCCAACGTCTGCGACAAAATGTAGGAAATAATAATAAAGTCATTCAAAACACTGTCTCTAATAGACAGGCTCTGAGACAGGGATCACAAAAGAATAGACGATTAGCCTTACAGATGGCTAATAGACCCTCGGTTTTGGCGGCACTCAGAACTTCCAATACACCCAAACCACAGAAGACACGATCGGTTAAACAAAGACTTGGAATTAAACGAAATAACAATCAATTGATTAATGCAAATGTCAACAGAAATGCAAACCAAACATATCGTAAACAAAACCAAAGGAAACCAATAAATAAGCGTAACTTTAATGTCAACCGAAATGCCGTTCAAAATCAAAACTTTGTCCGAACGCCAATCCGACGAAACAATTTTGTAAACACTGGAGTCAGACCTAAAGGTTGTCTTTTACCATAAAAATATAATTTTGTAATATTTGTCTACTTTTATGTAGTTCTTAATAAAGGATTCCGTAGAGGACAGACCACACTTAAGAATTCACCGAATGTGGCAAAGGTTGGACTTAGAGGTAAACGAAAAGTCGGACAACAAATACGTGGAAATCAAGTGAAGACGGCATCCAATAAGAAATTCCGTTTAAACCGAAACTTTAATGCGAGAAATAATAATAATAATAACAGAGGAAAGACTGGCAGAGGAGGTGCACCTAATAGGGAACAATTAGATAATGATTTGGACGCATATATGGCCAAAACAAAGAGTCATTTGGACTCAGAATTGGATGTATATATGTCTCAAACTAATTGATATTTAACTTAAATTATCATTTAAAACGATTAAATCCATTATTTAGAGGATTTAAATTCAGTTATTTACTTATTTATTAGTAATTTCTAATATTTTTTGTGTTCTAATATTAAAACATTTATTGCTATTATTTAGACATTTTTGTATATAATATTTAAATTATTAAAATTAACTACATTTTGTTTTTATAATTCAACACTAACTATTATTTATTGAAATAATTGCAATAAAATATTTACGGTACTATTATTTATTATAATTATAGTACAGTATCATAATAATTGACTAAATTTAATTATTTTGTTGTTTATAATGTTTACTTTATTTTTAACTTATTTCATTGTAATGCAGTTATTTCTGTCTAAACTTATTAATAAGCATTTTTAGACTTAAATACATTTATTACTCGTTAATGCTTTTTGTTGACAATTAGTAAAATAATAAACAAAATTTTTTAGTTATTTAGATTTTTTGCTTAAATTTTAGTTAAAAGTTTAATCAATGTTAGGTTCAATAGTTATCATTTAGTTATCTCACCCACTATTAAGTGTTACGTTTATAGTGAATCAATCATTTGTCATATGTTTAATGTTTACAAATCATATTAAATGATATAAATTTTAATTATTATTTATAATAAACTATAAATTGTAAACAAATAGTTAACACAATTATTACTTTTTTTATGTTACATAAAACCCAACACTTTTTCAATCATTTCATAAAAAAGCAATTTGTGTTTCAATTGTGTCGTAATTTTGCAAATTTAATGGATTTAAAATATTTGAGGTATTTTTTAATCATAAGTTTTATTGTTTAAGTTTATATAATTTAAGTATAATTATTATATAATTTATAATATAATTACAATAATCTTTAGCCAATACCAGTCATTGTATGTGTTATTATATAATGTATTATTGTTTGAAAATATTGATAAATACATTGTCAGTCCAAAGGGGTCGACTCACACACTAATCACATAACTATTGCTTACTTTATGTGACCATTGGATCAATTGTTAGGTCTATCAATAAATTAGCTATTTTTATGTCATATAATTTCGACAAATTTATTATAATTTTTATCAAATACTAACTAATGGTTTAAAATTATATATTTATGTACAATAAGATATTCATTTAAAATTGATATTATATATATTAATACAGTATACGTAAAAATGGAGACTATATTATAAATCATAATTATTATTATATTGATTGAATTAGTTGTAGTTTTGTAAATATTTAAATTTACAAATAAATTACTTAAAATGCTTCTATAAATTATATAAAATATGTGATTATTGAAAAATATTTATTTTCTACATTTTACATTTTTATTGCATTTATTTAGATACTAATCAAATCTTAGATATACTGACCAAAACTTCAAAGATTAGCTTTGATTTGCAAGGATTTGCTAAAAAATCAATTATAGTCTATTATTTTACTCTTGACATTATAATGTTAAGGATTGTCATTTTAATATATAAATAATTAATAAAATTAAGATTAAGATTATTACTGCTGTGTTAAGCAATAATAGTGTATTATATAAATACATAGATTATTACTAATTTATTAGTGAACCATAAACAACAATCATCAAAAAAGTTAATTTTTTATATGAAAAATTATTGCTTATAAATTAATTGATATATTTTATAAGTATTATTAACTATATTGTTTAAAATAAGTCAAATAAGTGCTATTTAATAATTTTAAAAATTAAATAAAGCTTATATTAAGGTTTTGTCAAGGATTGCCATTAATTTTTCAAGATTTTTAATTATACAGTAAGTATTGGTCAGTCTACAATCTAGACTGACCAATATCTAGACATCTAGACTGACCAATATCTAGACATCTAGACTGACCAATATCTAGACATCTAGACTCTAGATATACTGTACTACAGTAACTGTAGTTTACCGGTAATTTATAATTATATAAAGTATAATATAACCGACAAAACGTGATTATGTGAAATATTAGAGTTCTTTATAACTATAATATTATAGCATTTATATTATTAGAATAATTTATATATCTTTTATATGATTTTCATGTCATACATGTCATACAATCTTTAATTTACAATATATTTAAAAACTACTGTTTAATCATTTGACAGATCCATTCAAATGACAAACAAATTTGAGTTTATACAGTATTTGAGAATATTTTTTTTAATTATAAGTTGTATATCCAATAAAAGTTTACTGAATGTGAAAATGGTTTAAAAAGTTTATTTAGTTTTAATAATATAATACATTAATTTGTTTGCTTTGTCAGCAAAGCAACGATAATAAAGTATTTGATGAGTGAATTGGTGTTTATTTGAATATAAATTATGATTTTTATGATTATTATGTAATACGATATTAAACACATGTTTATAATATAATACTAGAAATATAGGATTAGTTGTTACAATTATTGACATTTAATTATCAATTGAGTTGTTTTAATGTTGAAATTAAATTATTCAATGAATAAGTGTCGCAAATGATTTGCCGGCAAAAGATTTTATGATTCATTTATGGCAAACAACTTTGGATTTTGGATCAGATATTATATGACTGTATTGGTTAACATATAGTTTAATGTATTTCTTATTATTTGTTTGAATCATAAAAAGACAATAAATAAAAGCAAAGATGATCTCAAATTTGGGGTAATTTTACAGTCAAACAGAAGCAATTAAAGTAGACGAAGAGCTCTTCTCGGAGTATGGCTTTAGTGTGGATCAGTTGATGGAATTGGCGGGTCTTAGTGTTGCTACAGCTATAGCAAAGTCTTATAGCAATGTCTACGGATGTGATAACCCAACTGTCCTGATATGTTGCGGTCCCGGCAATAATGGTGGCGATGGTCTCGTAGCCGCTCGACATCTCAAACTATTTGTATGTTTTATTACTTTTGTTATATTTATTATATAGAGTAGTGAATACATACAATAAATTTTACTTTATATGTTTTTATAACGTTATAATTACCTGTACATAAAAATTTATACTTATTGATATATGGTTTATTAATAGTTAATTAATATTATATGATATTGTATATAAAGGCATTAATATTTTTATAAAATATTTAAGATTAATCTTACTTATTTATATTTACAAATTTATATACAAATACTAATATTATGAATTAAGCAAAATAAAAGCATACGTATTAAAAATATATTATATATAATACAAATATCGCAATAAATTTGATTTAATTTGTTTTGAATTTCAACACAAATACAAAAATATAAATGAAATACAAACGTTATATACAATTTATAAAATAGTTTTTGATAATAACTAATTTGTTTTATTTGATAGGGATTTGAACCGACAATATTTTACCCAAAACCTGGAAATTCAGATTTATTCAAGAATTTGGTCAAACAATGCAACAAATATGACATAAAGTTTATACCAGATTTGCCGCAACAAAGTCAACAAATTAAAGACTCTTACAATCTTATAGTGGATGCGATATTTGGGTTTAGCTATAAACCGCCGCTAAGACCACAATTTGCTGAAATTTTAACCAAAATTGTTGAATCCAAAACAAATGGTATTCCTATAATTAGTGTTGATATACCCAGTGGTTGGCACGTAGAGGAGGGTCCACCTAATGATGGCACACCAATTTTAAAGCCAGACTGTTTGGTTTCATTGACGGCTCCTAAGAAGTGTGCCCAACATTTTACGGGACAATATCATTGGTTGGGCGGACGGTTTATTCCTCCAGAGATGGCTCAAAGATATTCACTTAATTTAGTCAAATATCCAACGACTGAACAATGCGTTCTTCTCAATAAAAGAAATTAAATTATTGATTTGATATTTAATTATTTTTATAAATATTAAACTAATAGTTTAACCAAAAAGCAAAACATTATATATATTTTTTTTGTTTTTTTTAAACAAATTAAACTAATAAATCAAAATTTATATGACTTTTAAAGCTTTGAGATTTAGTTGTCTTTTTTAGCACTAATTATTTGCACTCAAATCAAATAAGATTTTTATTTTTTATTTTACTGATAAACCGGTCGCTTGAGTCATAACATGAAAGTAGTAGTACTATAAAGTGTCCAATTTTTTGGACTTTTCTTTACTTAAAATTTAGGTTTAAAACCTAATGTTTATTCATGAGAGCAAACAATTGCAAGAGTTGTATCTCTTTCGATATAATATATATAAAAAGCCATTTTTAAGGCTTCAGTTCCACTGATTTTAATCCGAAAACAGGCTTTTGATTGGAAGGCTATAAAAGTTTTGCATAACATTGCTATCAATGGCTTTCATATTCACACAGATATATACAACACTTATTAAAGCATTGTATATATGTTTAGAAAACCAACGTTTCAACGATTTTTGTAAAGAAGGGAAACTCATTAATGGCTATAAGGGATACCAATGTCTGAGTGTCCCTCAAAAAATGAGTATTGGTTTTCTATAAGTTATAGACTATAACATACCTGCCTATCGATGTATACACAAAATGAAAAAATAGAGAGAAAGAGAGTACCAGACCTCTCATCTTTTATTTCTCAACTAATGATAACTAATTTTTTCAAAGAGTGACAAATGTCTTACCATTTTAAATAAAGTCAAACCAATATTTTTATATTTAAAAAAATATATATAACATATTATGTTTTTGCTAATAATTATATTTTCAAATTATGAGTTTACAATCATCTCTACGGTATATCGCATATGAATGCCATTAATAGACAATTTTAAAAAAGTCTGTTATTTGTATTTTTCAACGTCTTTAAAGTTCATCACATTTCATATATATTATTGAAATTATAATTAAGTTTTCTTTGTGTGTTATTCTTTAGAAAAAAATGTTTACTGAATATATAGGTTTCAACGATATTACATATTCAATATATTAAAAGTTATATTCATATAATAAAAGACGGCATACAATGAATGTAAAAATTTATTATTTGATTAATCATATTATAAATCATGTTTACAACTTGTGTGCTTATATTATCATAATAATAACCCTATACTATAATCCAGGTGGTATTTTTATTTTATATTCATATCTATTGTTTTCTTACATATGTTACTATTAAGCTTTAGACATTATACGGTATATGAATTCATATATTTAAATTATTTATTAAAACAAACTATATATTTAAATTAAATTTGTAAAATTGTAATTATTATTTTTTATTACTATTTTTTTATAAAATAGTTGTACTATTATATATATTTGCTATATATTAATACAGTATATTATATTGTAAATTATGATATTTAGTATTAAGATTAAACAAATAACTTAAATTAGACACAAATTATATGTTTATTATGTATATTATCTCATTATCTTATTTTTGTCGGCATATGAATTGTGATCAACGAGTGGTTTGACTACAATAAAGAGTCAGTATATATACAGTCTTTGCAAATTATTTTATATAAACTCAAGTCTCAGACAAAAAACTAATAAAATTGTCTCGAATTTGATGTCTCAACCATTTATTGAATTCTCATATTTTATATAAATATATTCAATATATAAATGCATAAAATTATAATCGATATATTAATAAATTTACATTAAATATAACGTATGTATTGGTAGTAAATATGTTAATTGGGATAAAATCAGTGACTGTTGTGTTTGATATAAATATTATATATGAAATTGTAATTCTTTGAAAATATAGTCAAATACAATATCCGATTAAATTTTGTTCATAATTAACATTTATTGCTAATATTTGTGGATTTCTTTAGTTAAGGCATTAATACTATTAAATAATCAAAAATATTTTTTGAAATCAATTTTTCTGTTCATTAAAATAAAAATTATGTGTTAATTGAGGAAAGTAATTATATATTATATTTATTATTAATACCGTATAATATATTTTTATAACTTTTAATTTATCATCATGACTATTTAAAGACTATTTTTAAAAATTTAACTCAAAATTTCCTTATTCAAAATGTATTGTTAATTTTAATAATTTAATTAAGTTTAGTTTTTATATTTTATGTTATTAATAATAGGATTTCATTTAGTATTTTAAAATAACTAATTTAATTTAATTAAAAGATTTTACAATATTAGGAAATAAAAATGCTTTTTAGTACTATATTTATCACATAATTACTTTGATCCTCAAATTAATTATTCTTATTCTTTAAATTTTAATATTTATAACAATTTTATTAGCAGTTAAATTTTGTAATAATGATTAACTGTTTTTTAATAAATATTAATAATATAATAACATCAATAATCAACGATATTATAGATATCTTTATAGTAATAATGTACATTTCATTAATGTATTTTGATATCAATTGAAATATTTGATAATAATTTATTTATAATACAAATATTTTGTGGCATTTATTATTTAATATATAATTTATTATACTTATTTATCATTTATTACAATTGTTTTTATTGACATTATTAGAATCATTTATTATATAAATTATTTTACACTTATATTATACAAATTTATTTTATTTTGTATTTAATAAAATCAGTAATTAGACATATTTATTATATTATTATTTTACAATATTTTAATATATAATTTAAAATTATAAATTGAAATATATTTTAATAAATACACAATACTAGAGATTAGTTAAATTACGCAAATAATAGTAATTCAATAGTAAACATTAGATAATGTACAGTATTTAATAGATTTTCCCATTGAATTAATTTTTAATGTGAATACATTTAAGGTGTGTCTAAATAAAAGTATATATTGAAGAAATGTTTGCACAATTATTTTAATTTATGTAAATTTAATTTATTAACAATTTTATTAAATCAATATATTGGTTAATTTAACTAAAAAGATTAACTAATCTTAGTTTTAATTAACTTATCATTTCAAAATTTATACTTAAATTACTCATTTCCGATAGAAATAAATATATAATAAAAGTTATGATTTTATATTTTTATTTAAATTATAAAGTTATAAATTAAAATTAAAATTCATATTCATATAAATACTTATTACTAAAATCTTAAGAGTTTTTGACTAATAGGTAGAAAATGAGGCATAAAATAACTATTAATGATATGATTAAAGTTTTATTATTTTTAAAAAATGTGTAAAACATGAGAAAAGTAGTAATTAAAAAGTAATATTAATGCATAATAAGTAAAAACCATTATATAATGAATATTTGGATCTATATTTGCCATATTTGTTGTCAGGTATTGTTCATTGATATAATATATAGATATATAAAGGAAAGCCTTTTTTGGTTAATGTGTGTTAAGTGGCAATAATATAATTGATCGCTTTGTTAGCCACATAATAATAAGGCAACCGTTCATAGCCTGCTTTATAGCCATTACATCTCCAATAGCGAGACCTCTTAAACCATTGACTAATATGATTGGATAACTATATTAGTGATCGCATCGCCCATCGATTCACCAAAACTGATGCCATTGAATGTGATCCCAGAGCGCAACCGTTGACTCTCTTTGGCATTACTGGCGATCAGTATATTGAGAACCAAATGTATGACTAGATGGCAGTCAAACATGTCTTTAAAAGTGATGCAAATTATGCCCATCTTTTGTATGCAATGCATGTACTCGTAGTCCAGATAACAGAGAGAGAAAGAGAGAGAGAGAGAGAGAGAGAGAGAGAGAGAGAGAGAGAGAGAGAGAGAGAGAGAGGAACCTCTGTTAGTACCGGTGGTCCTCTCGTCAGCTATTTTTCTCAACATTTCTCAGCACTCCATATGCAAGTGGTTTCCTTTACTCAACTTATCTATTGCTCTCATCTAAAGTAGGGCTCATCTCATACTTAAACAGAAAGAAAGAAAGAAAGAGAGAGAGAGAGAAAAAAAGAGAAAGAGAAAGAGAGAGAGAGAGAGAGAGAGAGAGAGAGAAAGAGAGAGAGAGAGAGAGAGAGAGAGAGAGACCAATTCAATTATTTTATACTAACTTTGTTTGAAGTAATTCAAGCAAAAAATAAATTTAAAAGCTAATTGAAATAAATATACTGTATATTTATATATACAATATTTATCAATTGTTTATTTCTACTGTAAAATATAATTTTAATGTAATTTTATAGCAAATGTTATGATACAAAATTTGCTTTAAATTTATCGCATATTAATTATTTTATAATGTTATAAAATAGTTAATATATAGTACTGAATGTATAACATAATGTATATATAAGTAAATGAATGCAAGGGTGAAAATGACTAGATATTGGATTAAAATAATTTTGTGTATTAAACACAAAAATGTGTTAAAATTTAACCATAAAATGTATAAACAGAGAGTCATAAAAATACTTATAATGCACAGTAAAAACATTTATTACTATTTTGTCTATTATGTTGGATACTACAGTACATAACTAAATGTGTTTACAAAAAATTAAATAAGTAAAATATTATAAGTGCATAATAAATCATTTAAAATTTGTAAAATGTCATTTATTTTATTAATATTTTTTGAGGATAATAAATACAAAAACAACAAATAATATTTTTAATAACTATTTTTGTATATTTTAATATCTATTGTTATTATAAAAATATTTATATTATAAATATTTATATTATTTATATGTAAATAAATATTAAAATACAAAAAAAAATTGTAAGAATTTTTGATAAACTAAAGTTTTGCATATAAATTATAAACGTTTCTTATAAAAATAAAATTATATTCATTTAAATAAAATAAAAGATATTATTTTTATATTGAGTGAATCCAAGTGAAGCCTTGTATTTAAAATTTTAGTGACTTTTGGTGTCATTATATTTGAACGACTCATATATCCTTTCATATGTTTCCTTTGATGCCATGAGTTGTGAATTTCTGGTTTTTGCTGTTCATGTCTTTGATGGCAAAGAATGTCGGCATTTGATAAAGATTTTGTGGTTCACATGTAATCGCATATAATTTTCATTATAAACATAGAGCACAACATTGAAACTCTCTTATAATTAAATCAAATGTTTATTTTGAATAAAAGCGTTGCTAATAATTAAATGCTAGGCTAATGTAAATTTATATATTGATTGTGGTGTGTGTGTGTGTGTGTGTGTGTGTGTGTGTGTGTGTGTGTGTGTGTATGTGTATGTGTATGTGTATGTGTATGTGTATGTGTATGTGTATGTGTATGTGTATGTGTATGTGTATGTGTATGTGTATGTGTATGTGTATGTGTATGTGTATGTATATATATATATAATGATTACATGTTTTAAACTTTTCGGCACAAACTTGTATATTGAAGACAAATTTTTTGTATATTTATATATTATGATTATATTGCAATTGACAAATTGAATATTCAATAGACTCAACTATTTATTTGAAAATTCATACAATTGGTAATGTTTTTGTAAAGAAGTGAATTATTATGAACACAATTATAAAGAAAGGCATACATAAAGGTATACACAGTTCATCATAATTTCTGATTATAATTTAACACTAATCATAGCCTATGGGTTTAAAATGATATTTTTCTCGCAGTAATACTATGGGTCACAACATTTAGAAAATAAAAAAACAAAAAAAGGCATCTTTTAGATGATAATAAGCTAACTAAGCATTAGAAAGCATTTGTAAGACAACCTATAGATAGAGTAAGTCTGATATAAGCCGTGTAAGTCATGTAAGTCTAGTGACAGCCAATGGTAGTGTTGAGCGGTGGTAGCATTGGTTGCCTCCCATTTGATGACCGCTTTTGCTCACATGAGATATACGATAATATGAATGTCTGAAATACAGAGTCAACGAAAGTGAACAATTGAGAGACGAAAACTTAACTCAAACACAACTGAGTTCTCAGCTCAGGGACTAACTATCCTTACTTTGGTCTCTCATTTTCTTTTGATTGCTTTTTATTAGCAATTTTGATGTAATTTACATAAAATATGACTTTATGTGTATTGTATTAAATACGATATTTTTAATCGTTAGACACATTGGTTGAAATCGACAAACAATTAGACAATTAGTACAAATGAGTGCCAATATGTTTGAATGGTTCATATTATCAAATATGTAACGAAGATTCTGTATGATTGTGACATCACTTATAAGACCATCCGTTATGAACGGATTTGAAACAACTGAACACAACATCAACGGCGCCCTCATCTCAGCCAAACGGCCCGAAAGTCTCAATAATTCATTTGATTCAAGTGTAGGCCAGACCTCTACTCACGTCACCTCATCATCAGGTGCTTCCTCTTCCTCTGAAAGAATGAGGTCGGGATCAACTGATCTGCAACTAAACAGTGGCATTAGTAGTACTACTACACCTCTATGGACTTCCACAACAAATAATTATGATTTTGATTTATATGCCAATCAACACAACGGAACAGGCGGTGCCTCCTCTTCATCGTCTTCATGCTGTATGCCAGTCGGTACCACAAACAATAGCACTCATACCCACCACCCGCCACCTCCAACTAATACTGGTTCTTATTATTATGGGAGTACAACACCCGAGGCCACGTCAAGCAGACCTTGTAAGCCGGCGCCCACTAAATTCTGGTCAAACTCTGCATATGAAACAGCCGTTAACCCGTCTTCTCAAATGCCCGGCGATTCAATAGTGGCGGCCGCTGTATGTCATGGCAGTGCGTTTGCAGCGGCAGCCGCACATCACGCTGCGGCCAATCATGTAGCTGCTGCTGCATCAGCTGCCTGGTGCAATTACTCACCATATCATCAAACTACAAGACCTGATCCCTATTTGACCGCAGAAACCGATCACAGATCAGCTTTTGTTGATTCATACCATTCAGCCATCAGAAGTTTCCCGAGCGTTGCTACCGATCAGCCATGCAGTGGATCAGCTGTTGGAACTTGGAATCAATCGTCAACCGGAGCTCCTCAGACTTCAACACCTACCGGTAATTATTATTAAATAAACGTTTTATAACTTATAAAAAATAATATTTTGTGTAATATAATAAATATTGCATATAATAAATATGTGACATAAATGTAATAAATTGATGATAATATAAGATATGTTTAGTAAAACAACAAATAATCATTGTTTAGGGTTTTTGTAATATCTGTGCATAATATGAAAGATATAAAATTAAATAACGATCTGTTATAATGAAGTAATAATGTGAATTCTAGTGCCACTACTTTAATATTTAATGTCTAACAGTTTTATTTAATTTTCAATTCATGTCTATTGTACTGAAATTGCATCTATAGATAGATATGCGGCAAAAAAGTTATATAAAATAAACTCAAATAAAACATTTTACTTGCATTCACTTAACTTATATTATGAGTTACCTGAAGGCTCATTCACTTTTTTAATGGTGAACCCGATTTAACATATTATACTTGTCTTTCACTCTCTTATATAATAAAAATGATAACCAATGTCAGTGCATCACATATTGAGAGCACATTTGGCACAAAGTTATGTTATAGCCTAACAATAATCACACAAAAGTAGTTACAAACACAACAGCCTTGTACTGTATAAGCTTATGGATACATACGCTTGACTTGACGTTTACTTTATTATATTAGGTTTTGGGGAATAACCAAACCTGTGTCCAACTCAACTACTATCATAACTTTGCAATGTTTAGCGTATATTGTATTTGTGTGACAATAGTGCCAATCGGGGCCTAAGCGATGGCTACATTGGTTACATAGATATGAATAAATACAATAAACAGATTTGAATTGTTATTTTAAACAATTATAGTAAAGGTGACCAACATTTGAACCCAATTGCCAATTGCCTCAACATATTTACACCAAATGCTCTCAAATGTGATTCAAGCCATTTATGTAACTTATGATTCAATTGTATCATTGATTTCCTAAAATTTATTTTGACTTTCATTACTTTTATATATTTAACATTTGTGTCCATTTGTGACCATTAATATTGATTCATAAGATTATGCAATCCCTTCGTACAAAAATAAAGTAAAAATCTATTAAATATGTTATTTCTTATGAATTGACTTTGATTTTATTGTAACTTTGCTCTCTTGTATCGGCTATTTATTGTCAAAAAGTAAGCATTTTTTGATGCATTTGTTACTCAAGAAGAAAGCATACAATACTGGGAACAACTTATATGATGTGTGAGTGCAGAGACAATATATGGCAGTTGATAGTTGTGGCCATAGTATGACTTATATGACTATAGTGTGCACACTATGAGTGATAATTCATTTTTACTGTTTTATTGTTTTGATAGTGAGAGCTGAAGAATCCTTTTGTAAAGTACAGACCCGCTCAGCAATCGCTCAATAATTTTCAAATACAACAGACTATTACAGCAATAGTATCCACACATCAATTACTATACCTTTTTTTAGTCTCCAAACACCATATCATAAAACATTTCGTTAGATAACAGTTACGGACTAAAGCTGTAAAATTAGAAAAAAATTCTTAAAATAGGATCAATCGTAGTGTGCGAGACCTTTAGGCCAAAGTTTGGCGATTGTATTAAGATTTTTAGGCAACAATATTACCTAAAAAACACCTGAAGTTATATATCTCACTCCCTGTGGTATAAGTAGTATATATATATATATATAAGAGAAATAAATGGTCGAAATCACAATTTTAATGCTCTATGACTGACAGCAAAACTTACATTTCATGTCTTCAAATATCTCTCTATTAACTAATATTTGTCGATCAAGTATATCGGTTACTACAGTAGTTTCACTTTATATTTGTTATATTTTACTTTTTTAAAACAGCAGTAATTTGCACAACAATTAATTATACATTTATAACAATGAGAGTGCAATCAAATTCATATCTCTCACATATATCTTATAAAATATAAAGCCTAAAGTGCCAGCAGTTATGCCATTAAAATATTTTATTACAGCAGCGGTTCACTTGATTTTCATTACTAAATTTTTGTTATAATTTTAGTTAAATTATTTGTATACATATTGTATAAACTTTATTGACAATATATCATACTATTCGACTATCGATTGATATTATTATCTATTGGTTGTTTAATTATCATTTGTTTCACAAATATAAACCATATATAGACAGTAAAATTTATAAAAGTAATAAATATATAGAAAAATTATATGTCATGTCATTTCAATGATAAAAGTTAACATTGAATTTTGATTTGAACGCATAGGTGATGCATTGGCGGCAGCAGTACATCATCATCACCACCACCATCACGCTCATGCGGCAGTATTGCATCACCATGCCGCACTACTGGCCACCAATGCGGCCGCTGCAGCACAGCTCGACTGGACGGGTGCTCCGGCTAACAACACTGGCCATCACGTGTCGGTCCGCAAAAAGCGAAAACCGTATTCAAAGTTTCAGACACTGGAGTTGGAAAAGGAGTTTCTGTTTAATGCATACGTTTCCAAACAGAAACGCTGGGAATTGGCCCGCAATTTGAATCTAACTGAAAGACAGGTCAAGATTTGGTTTCAAAATAGACGAATGAAAAGCAAAAAAACTTCTCAGAGAAATACCGATCGAAACAAATGAATGAATGAATAATGAATTTAATCAATTCATTACAAAAACAATTTAATACAAAATATATGAATTGAAGTATTTGATTGATTAACGATTGCTTCAAATCATTAGCTTATTATTATAATTATATGATATTATAATACATACTTTACAGATGATTATTGTGTTGTAGTTTTAGTTGTTGTCTCAGAATATTGAATAACAAAAATGCATTTAAATGCATAAATTATATTAAATAATACTATCAATATTTATGATAACCATTGAAAATATATAATTGAATTTTTAACTTAAATGTTGTATTTCATCTCAAAAATGCAAAGATCTGTAGAATATTCCATATAATATTAATAATTGTGGTATTTTTTAACATACAAACACAATATATTATTTATATATATAGGTATTTACTATTAATTTATTAAAGCATTTTCTTTGTTGTAAACTCTAGACGACTCCACACATAATATAAGATATTTCATGTGAATTAAAAAAAAAGTTTATTGTAAAAATAAATTATTTGATGTAAATTTTTCAATTCATTTCCATTAATTATAAGATTTCTTTCAAAATATTTTATGTAAAATATTATTTTGTTGTCATATAATTACTTTTTGGCTTATTTTCATAGGGATCTCATTTGACAATCACATGACAATAAGTCAATAAAAAATATACTTAACAAATAAATTTGTATTTAAATTATTTTTAGTTTAGTATTGAGTACAACTCTAAGTAATAATGATATAAATTAATAATTATAAATAATAATAAATAATAGCTAACTAATTACTTTAATGTGTTCAGTATACTGACCGCAAATATACATGTAATCACCATTTATTATAATATAATAAAACAAATATTAATTGAAAAATATTAATAAAAATTTAAAAATTATTAATTGAATTGATATTAAATTAATTAATTTTATAAATTTAAGTTTTTTCTTTGTTGATTCTAAGTTTTAAATATATTTTAAAATGTTATATCGTTTAATATTTATCGACTAAATAAAAGTTAATTTGAAGATCTAATGACGAGTTAATATATATATAATATAGTATAGCTTTCAATGTCAATATTTTTATATAATTATTTGATTAGTTTTGATAAATACGGTACTTATGTAACAATTTTGAGCCATTTTTAGTCTTCAAAAAATTTTAAGTATTCAAAAATATGTGCTCTTATCGTGAAAGTAGTTATGCATTATTTTATGTTTCATTTTATCTAAATTTAATTTATCTTTAAAATGCTTCATTGCTTGGATGTTAATTTAATATAAATTACAATTAATTTTATATAAATTTGCCGATTACCACACCAACAAGTATTTAAACTTTGAAATTAATATCACTATTTCTTAACAAAAAATTAAATCTATTGTGTATTTTAAATATTAATTTTATTATAAGGTTATCATTAAATTAATAACATTTTTGTAATGTTATAAAATGAGCTTAAATAGAATTATTTAATACATTAAATATGAAAATTTAAGATATAGATTTCAATCAATTAATTTATGCAACAAAAATTTATGGCTATTAACTAAATAATTAATTAAATGATATATTTTTATAGTTATGTGTGACCACACATACTGTCCACCGTTTATGTGATTTGATATTTACTCTAAAAAATAATCATTATTTTAGACAATACAAAAATAAATATTTATTATATTTTTTTAAAACTGTCATTTAAAATAAAATAATTAAAAAATATTTTTAACAATTTACATAAAAATACAGTTGAAGACAACGAAAATAATAGAAAAATTGAAATGAAAACAAATCATATTTGATATTCACATCTAAAGCACATCCATGTTATCCATGGTATGTATTCATGAGTATATACACTGCCTATCCCTGTGCTTATGCCTACAATGTAAGTGCAATGTATTGAAAGTACACCCTATAGAGGACCTATAAAGTGCTATTCATAGTATTGATAGTAAAGTCTATGTGTAGTCTGTGTTAGTCTTATCGGTGGTACAGCTCTTCACTCTTTTTCGTTCATCTTTTTCAGCAATCGATTTGAACCGCTTTTGGCTTCTGTTAGTCTTTGCAAACCCCATGAGGCACTTGGATTGGCACTGGTATTAGCACTCAGGCATTGGTTGACGTACACAACCATTATTTTATGCCTGTTTTCTTTGATAACGTTAGGTCTATCTTAACGAAGATTGAGTTATGCAATAAAGTAGGGCTCATATAAAGGGGGTCACAATGCAAACGTTTGGCAATACAGCTATTTTTAGGTTGTATTCAATAGACAGTTCAAACAAACTTGTGTCCGCTCGCAAAACCAAATTTTTAAGATCCCATTGAATTAAACTTTTATTGAGATCTGGCTTTTCCTCTCCTCTATTATAAATGAGCTCCAATTTGGTCCTTTGCTTATGTGGTGACCCCTCTGTTTATGTGGTGACCCCTCGAATGTTAAGCAATAAACTTTGCAGATATTTGATTGCTTTTCCTTAGGCTTACATTCAAAAGCATCCAAAGTTCACTTATGGCTCTTAATATAAGCTCTTTTGTAGTCCAAACCTAACACCAAAACATTGCTTTAATATAAATAATATCCAATATATTTAATATAATAATATTGTGTGATTCATATCAAATTAATCGATGAATTTACTATTTTAATGCTTAATCATTATTATCCGTCTTCTTAAATATACCAAATGTATATAAATTTTGTAATAATTATTTTATTAAAATATATTTTATAATATTACTAAAAATTAAAATACGACAGTATTTTTCTGCCGTATAAAAATATTGTTGACTAACAATAATTGTTATCTAAATTAATTAATAGTATATACTTTATTATGCTTATCACACAATAAATCAGTAACAAAATGTATCATTATTTTTATTATTATAAATAATAAAGATTAATAATGTTAATTGAAATATTTTTATTAATTTGTAAATTAAAAATATTATTTTAAAAAATTGATCAAGCAAAATTAAAATTATCATTTATTAAATTTAATTTTTAAAGATTTTCTTTATTAAAATTTTTTTTTAATGAATATTTACAATGTTATAGTAATTATTATATATATATATAATACAGTATATATAAAAGTTTTTTATATTAATGTTAACATTACAAGTGTTGTTTTATTTTTGTATGTATAATATTTTATTATGTTTGTTAAATATTAAATATTAAATATAATTAAAAATAACGTTAAATTAGTAAATATATGTTTTGCTAATTTAAGAATAACTATTAAATATCAATAAAATAGATGACAATAAAGAGTTCGTGACAAACACTTATCAATTGAAATATTTATTTAATAAAAAGCATTTTCGGCGAAAAAACCACTAAATTACACATGACTTGCATTCTTTGATCTGAAATATCCAAATAATAAAAAATTTTACTCATCATTGTGTCATCATTTTAGTATTATAACAAGTTTTAAATTATATTCACAGATATTTACATTAATAGACAATATATATACATATTTTTTGTATAAATTAAATTTAAAATTAAATTCAAATATCAAATATATATTTATATATATATATATATATAGACTAACGTTTAAAAACTCTATTCTCAACCCGACTCTATTATCTGAAAATTTATTGATTTGAAAGTTTGCATAAAAGTCGTTAAACTTAATAATAATTTAAAGCAAACATTTAAATAGTCTGAAAAAATTATTAAAAAAACTTAATCGCTTTTTGAATGTAATTTTAAAAACTCTAAGCCGTTATTCATATTCAATATTAATAACAAAATTGGTATTTCAGTGGTAAAGTAAACGACACACCCGTTAAACATGAGTTTTCACTGGAGAGAGGGCTCACCGCGAGAGTGGCAAAGAGGGGGTGAGAGAGACTGACAGGGAGTCAGTGGAGTCAGTCTTCATATTTTATAAAAGTAGGTGTAATCTAATGTCATCACAAGTATTGACCGAATCAGAGACGAGTCTAACATTGCCCTCAGCTTTCATTACTTAAGGTTTTTCCATACAATCGCTTATGCCTTTCATTTAGTAGTGAAGTAGTTTAGTGGACACTATTGCCATCAGTTTGATGCTGACGACACTCAATGGTCTTATCATTAACTTCTTGACGGACACCGGTGTACTTGATATGGTATGATATGGTATAAGAGATGTCGATATGAGTGTTGTGCTGATTATAAGCCCATTCCTCTTACGTATACAAATGGTGGTCCGATACTTATTTCAATAGTCGGACTACAGTTTGTATACGATTAGGAAATGCTTTTCATTCAATCCATATATTCATGTCATCCAAAAAAGTTTTTATTTTTTAATGACATTTTATAGCATTTTCTTTATGACATATAATTATCTAAATGTATACAATTTTTATATGTTAAATCAAAATATATTAATTTAATGATATTTATTATTTATATTTTATATCATTTACAGAATGATAATAATGTTGTAAAATCCTGAATCTTATAATAAAAATTGTAATTATAAACAAAATAATATTAATTATGAATTTTTCATTAGCAATATTGTCACAAAATGTTTGTGTTTTTTGACTGTAAATGTCAGATAAAATTAATTTCAAGAATATTCTGTTTTGTCTTATATTTGATGCTCTTTTCAGATAAAACAATGATTTATAATATAAATAAAATTTATTATCTTTTAGTATTAGTGTTTGCAGTTATATGCAGTGTATAGTGTATGCACTCAATAGACATAAAGTAATTGCTATTTTTGAACAAAATAGTAGAATATACGGTATATTATATAATACCACTAAATAAAACTATTTATCAGTAATACAGCGCCACATATAAGACGACATTTTAAACTCAGTCTATACTTTTGATTAATTTCTTCAATTTTTTTGTAGAAATCTTTTATTATTTCATTAATATATTCTAAAATAAACAATTACTATAAAATATTATAATTTATATGATAAATTAAATTAAAAACTTTCAACTTTTATATTAAAAATAACATTATTTTTTAA